GTTGAGACAGTATCTTGCTATAGTGCAGTGGCTGGCCTAGCATATACCACACAGCTCATCCTAGCCTTGAACTCTAAGCAATTCTTCCATCTCTACCTTGAAGGTATTGGGATTTTAAGCATACACCAACACACCCAGCTAAGAATTTTGAAATGCTCACATGACTCTTAGAAACTTTTCTGTTATTAAACATTGCTCGAAAAAATAGAGGTCATCAATTGTTTTGCACAAATTCTGTCAAATGTAACATTTTTCCTTAACTACAACACTAAAGTTTTCACATTTGCCATAAATGTATAATTTCCTCCAAGTTTCACAATAAGGGGAGAATAAATAAAAACACCTAAGGTTGAAGATTAACTTAATTTATGCTTTTAAAAATTAATAAAAGTGATACCGAATAACTAGACATCTGTAAAATGACATTCATTGATTGCTAGTTTTGCTGTTGTTACTCTTTCTTCTGTAAACTTTAGGCAAAGTTCCTAGGAAATTGTGTCCTCTTGTGGTCACTGGCAAAAACAACATGTTATCTTCAGGAAGAACCAAATCCTATAATGTGAATGGATTTAAGGGCTCAGGAAAAACCATGTGTTGGTGGGGGAAGTCCCAGAGAGAAGAGAGGTAAAAGTTATGGATAACCAAAAAGGAAAACTAAGCTGGAAATTAAAAAAAAAGCAGTACACATTGTCTGATTCTGTTTAAATTGCTTAGCTTCAGATGGCTTAAGATACGTAAATAGTATACAGCAGGATTGTGATCAAGGTAAGATGTTCCCAGGAGTTTTGTATTTCATACGGGGTTTTCTTCATTTATCAGAGCAACTTGAAAATAACTAAGAAGTTAGGGAATGTGTATTTCAGTCAGGTCAACCAGCAGTGAGATGTGATACTAACCCTCCAAGCTGTATTTACCATAAGCCTACAAAGAATAAAATAAAGTCAAGGGGAAAGCATAGGATTCTATGTCTTTCCAGTATATACAAGTCTTAATCCCATCCTCATCTCAAATGAAATCTCAGATATTCTAATGATTAACATAGATTTCCGTTTTTATTTGCTCATTTGAGGAGTCCTTCAGTTTCTTATGCTTTTTAATTCTTTTCTCTGTACTTCAGGATTAAAACTTTCAAATTGTATAACTTTAGTTCCATGTTATCAGAGAAATTCAGAAAGATAAAAGTAGAATCAGATTCGTGAATTAGAATATCACCAGTGGGACAAAGATGCTCAAGCATCACCAAGGCTGTCAACAAACCAAGAGTGATTGCTGGTGCTGATGTAGAGTTTATACTACATTGTAATACCAAGCTGGGAAATTCCTGTAGAATATCCAAAACAAGATGAAATCTAAGATGCACAACCTCATCTGAGACCTATTCATCTGTAGTCTTCCAATGTACACCCTTCTGCAGGAGGATTCCCATGCTTCCCCTAAGCAATTCAAAAGCCCAGTCATTTGTCATCTAAAGACTGAGGAGAAATGACTACAGAGTCACTGAGCAAACCCAAAATTGCTAACAATTGTACAGTGAGTTTCTTTTCCTTATCTCAAAGTATTTGTAACTGACAAAAAAAAAAAAAAAAAAAAAAAAAAAAAAAAGAAACAATGCCAGTGCACAATGAAAATGTAAGGATAATTACAGAGATGCAGTGTGTGCCCAGCATGAGATTTTTCGTTTTTGATTTTGTTTGTTTTTCTGTTTTCTTTTTATAAGCATTTCTCAGGAAGAATCGCATGCCAAATCTGCAGTCTGAGAGCAAAGCTCTTGTGAAATCTCCAAGTGCAAAAGGCCTTTGTTGTTTTCAGTGAACATTTTGGGGGACCTTGCCTGTTTCTGAAGTCCACAAAGTGAATTAGATCCTAATTAACCTATCATTTCCCAGTCCCCAGCTGATGTTAAGTTCACAGAAGCCTTAAAGGGGAGATGGAAAACTGTTTTACATAAAAGACCAAAATCATGGTTTCAAAATAAAGGCAACTCTCTTATGTTAAGCTGAAACACTGTGCAAATCGCAATCACTGTCACAACGGTGAGATATTCAGGATTGTATCAGACTTGTGAGCAAATAGAGGACTCAGCTTTATCCAGCAAGGACAGGAAAGTCGGTCAGTGAAATGTGACAATGAACTGCACCTAACAGACAAAGCAGCCCACTTCCGCTTGTCACCATTTGCACACAGATTATCAAGCCCTAGATACTGTTGAGTTCATTCTCCTTGAAAGGTACCACCTTTGGCTCAGAATGTAAATCCCAGCCCCACGTAACAAGTACTTCCATGCTGGGTGCCTCTGAATGAGTTCAAGAGAAATTTCTACTCAGAACTCAAACGATTTCCTTGTGACCCTGTTCAAAAAATCCCACGTCAAAGATGGATCTGGTTAGGCCATTCTTTTCAAATATTCTTCTAAACACTGCCTTCAAGAGTTTTGCCTAAGCCCCCAGGGTTGGGAGTGGGTGGTCCAACCCAGTGCAGCAGCAGAGCGGACTTGCAGATTGGAAGGCTTGATAAAGGTACACTTGCTAATGACCTCTGCTCCGCAGAGAGGTGAACTGTTTCTCCACACCCGGTCCAACCTTTCCTCTCTCAACACTTCCCCTCTGAAATAGCCTCCCCCACTCCGTCTCTTTCCTCCCCATCCTCCTTAGCCATGTCCTATCATTCATTCTTTTTGTATTATTTATAATACTCAGCCAATGGAGAAAAAATAAAATTTAAGGTTGATATTACCAAAGGGAAACTCAAAATAGCTAAAATGTCACCTTCTAAAAGATAGTTGCGGGATACTCTGCAATTCGAATATTTAGAAAGCAGGATGCTTGGTAGAGAATGAGGTAAAATTTCTCCCCGTGTTTGGTTTCCAAGAGATAAATTCTTGTCGGTGGAAGATACAAATGCAGGAGTGGCTTTATTTTGAGAAGAATTGGCTACGAGCTATTAAAATTAAGTGGAGGTCAAGTAGAATCTGGTTTTCAGCCAGGCTGTCATTTTAAAATATGGCAGCAGCGGGCGGGGCAGTCCAGTTGGCACGATGTGGTCATTGTCTCCGGATATCTGTAAAAGCGGGGGAAAGGCAACCCGAGGAGTTCTCTACAACGGTGAAAGCACAGTCAGGTTTACTGGTCTGGGGCAGATCTCCCCACAAAGGCTGAGCCCCAAGCATTCCACACTCCAGCGTTTCTGCGACCCAGCTGAAACTGAAGCTCAGCTTCAGCAGGACGCAGCCACGTGGCCTGCCCTGAAGCACAGGGTCTTCGGCCTCCAGCTTCTCAGGAAGTCGGTGGACGCGACCTTTGGTCCAAAGCCAAAAGGGGCACTTGCTTAGCTAGCATTTCCCCAGGGGATTGACCCAGGGAGTGGGGACTAGGAGCCTGGGCCAGGACCTCAGACAGTGAGCAGCAGGAGCTGGAGGCTCTCGTCTCCCTGCCTGTAAACTCTGCCTCTGAACTCTGGCTACTTACTACTGCCTTAGGATCCAGAATTGCATTTTTGAGTAAGAGGTCACATTGAATTGACCCCCTAAGTCTTCACCCTTAAAGCCCTGCAGGCTTCTCTCGTTTGCTGGTCCTCTTGTTGCTTATCAACCTCTCAGCTTCCAGTTTTCAAGAATCCTCTTTGGGGCTCTTGGGTTTTAATGGTATTGGGTAGAAATACTTGCATCACCAAACATGGCTGAATAATAAGAATGCATTGAGGCACGGGGAGAGCATAACCATTCATTCAACCTGCTAGGAAAGACGACTTGGGATTGAGCACTCTGGCCAGGCAGCCCTGGAAAGCATACTGTGTGCGCGCACACACACACACACCCCTCCGCTGCCGTCCGCCCCCAACACACCTTAAAATTCTCTACACTTACTACCCCAGGTTATGACTCAGAGCATAATTCAGGAGTAACGGTGATGAAATGGTCACTGGGCTCTTCCACTTTGGGCTTCAGTGTGGGGGATTGGGACCAACAGGAAGGCTGCTCAGCTCTCCCCTTGCCTTGCTCCCTTCCTAAGCCTGAAGCTTGTCTGGGTACAAGAAAGAACTTCAGCCTCCTTCCAGCACCATCGGAAGCAGTCTTTGGAGAGCAGGGAAACTTTAGATTGGGAAGCTGAAGCAGGAAAGGGGAGCCCAGCTGTTTCTCCAAGAGGGGTGAGACGGCAGACCGGGACACAGATCCACAGCCCCCGTGGCGGCGTGGCCACGTCTTCGGAACCGCCTTCGACCTCAGGGCCTGGCAGCAGTGGTGAATCCCTGGGGACTCGGGTTTTCCTCTACCTGACCATTGGATGGGCTATCGCCACGGATGACACTTTTCTTGCCACTCAGCCTGGGCCCCAGACACTCCCAACGGGTCCCGAGGACTTTGAGAGATCCTGGGAGGGTTGAGACATCATCCAGTGCCTCGAAGCCGCTTGCCACCACTGCTGTCACAGCCACTTCTTCGCTTAGGGCGGGGGTGGGGTGGGATGGGGGACAGAGGCAGTCACCTCTCTTCGCGATGCTGCGCTCGGGTGCGAGGGGGGCGCTAGGCGCGCGCTGGGGCGCGGAAGGAAATCGCCCCGCGTCCGCCTTAGGGGGGGGTTGAGAGAGTAGGGGGGCGGGCACAGGGGCCGTCCGTCCGGGCCAGGTCGGTTTTGAATGGTTAGGAGGACGAATTGTTAGACCCCGAGGAAGGGGGGCCGGGCCGGGGGAGTGGGGCTGGAAAGCGGAAACTTTCCTATAAAACTTCGAAAAGTCCCTCCTCCCCACGTCAGGCCAATGACACCGCTGCCCCCAAACTTTCCGCCCGCACGGAGGTATAAGAGCCGCCAAGCCCGCAGCCCGCGCCCAACTCCCAGACACCTCGCGGGCTCGCCAGCGCCGGCACGGGCTGCGCCAGGCCGATCGGGGCGCGCGTGCGGCCGTCGGGCGCCTTCTTTTTGGACCTCGGGGCCCTCCACACCGTCCCCTCCCCCGTCCGCCTCCCTCCCCGCCTCCAGCGCCCTCCCCGCGGAGGTCCCCCCCATCCCTCCTCCCTGCGTCCTCCGGGCCGCACCGCCCGGGCCGGCGCCGAGCGCGGGGAAGCTGGCGGGCTAAGGCACCCCGCTCCTCTGCTCTCCCCCCCCCCTCCCGGCTCCGCGAGGCCGCACGTCGCCGCCCGCGAGATGATGCAGGACGTGTCCAGCTCGCCAGTCTCGCCGGCCGACGACAGCCTGAGCAACAGCGAGGAGGAGCCGGACCGGCAGCAGCCGGCGAGCGGCAAGCGCGGGGCTCGCAAGCGGCGCAGCAGTCGACGCAGCGCGGGCGGCAGCGCGGGGCCCGGCGGGGCCACTGGCGGAGGCGTCGGAGGCGGCGACGAGCCGGGCAGCCCGGCCCAGGGCAAGCGCGGCAAGAAATCTGCGGGCGGCGGCGGAGGCGGCGGCGCGGGCGGTGGCGGCGGCGGCGGCAGCAGCAGCGGGGGCGGGAGCCCGCAGTCGTACGAGGAGCTGCAGACGCAGCGGGTCATGGCCAACGTGCGGGAGCGCCAGCGCACGCAGTCCCTGAACGAGGCGTTCGCCGCGCTGCGCAAGATCATCCCTACGCTGCCCTCGGACAAGCTGAGCAAGATTCAGACCCTCAAACTGGCGGCCAGGTACATCGACTTCCTGTACCAGGTCCTGCAGAGCGACGAGCTGGACTCCAAGATGGCAAGCTGCAGCTATGTGGCCCACGAGCGGCTCAGCTACGCCTTCTCGGTCTGGAGGATGGAGGGGGCCTGGTCCATGTCTGCGTCCCACTAGCAGGCGGAGCTCCCCACCCCCTCGGCAGGCCGGAGACCTAGGTAAGGATCCACTCCAGGGTCGCTCGGGCCAGGCCTGGGCTCCCTGGCCACCTCGCCGCCACGCTGGGTTGTCCCCACTCTCCTCGATGCCCTCCACCTAGCCAGGCATCGCCACTTCATCCCACCCGTGGCTCTGGCAGGTAGTTCAGTCCCCACTGGGGGCACAGGTCCGCGTCGGGCAGACTGGGTGTGTGCTTGGGAGGGGTGAACGTGTGCGGGAGTGTGCGTGACAGAAAACTGAGAAAGTCGAGAGTAAGGGCCTTGTACCCAGAGCTAGCCCTCCCCCTTTCTTTCGTCTTTAAAATTCCCTTCTTCTTAAAACAAATGTTTCCAAATTCCACCCCCTCCTTTCCGCCCACCCACTTCCTCTTGCCCTTGGGCTGAAATCCTTCCAGGTTGTTCAGCGAAAATTCTCGCTGGTAGTGATAACAGGGCTTAGTGGTCTGAGAAAACAGCCACAGACATACACAATAACCAACTTTCCCCTTCTGGGTTTTTGCAGATGTCATTGTTTCCAGAGAAGGAGAAAATGGACAGTCTAGAGAACTCTGGAGCTGGATAACTAAAAATAAATCTATATGACAAAGATTTTCTTGGAAATTAGAAGAGCAGAGACCAAATTCAAAAGAGTCGGGGCGTGGGGCACACTTTTAAAAGAGAAAGCCAGACAGGCCGGTGGACCGAGATTCCCAGAGAGGCACCACCCTCATACCTCTGCATTCTGATAGAAGTCTGAACCATTGTTTGTGCCCCCCACACACACACACACACTTTGACGAAGAATGTTTTATTTTATTTTTTTTCATGCATGCATTCTCAAGAGGTCGTGCCAATCAGCCACTGAGGGGAAAGGCATCATTGCGGACTTTCTCCATTTTTAAAATGATAACAATCAGAGGAATTTTAACAACACCTGTAGAAATAAAAAACGCTGGGATCAAACTGGCCTACAAAACCATAGTCAGTGAATTCCTTTTTTAAAAAAAAAAACTTCCTCTGAAGGAAAAGAAAACATAAAATACAAAAGACAACATTCTATTTATTTATTGATGACCCATGGTAAAATGCAAATAGATCCGGTGTCTAAATGCATTCATATTTTTATGACTGTTTTGTAAATATCTTTTGTATATTATTTTTCTGCAATAAATAAATATGATTGAAAAATTTTAAGAACTTTAAAGTTTGGTCTATACTTTAAAACTCAGAATTAAGTTGGTTTTAAATACTTGTTTAACTTTAGGGTATCAAGGAGAGAGTGGGACACTAATATAAACAAAGAAGGGAAAAACCTCAAATAAACCAGCTACTGACAGAGACAGCCATGCTATTTAAAGGACAGCTCTATTATTATTACAGCTTGGTGTTCAGCGGGGCTCACTGCCTCTCCACCTCTTAGGCTGAATTGAGCAGATTTGCTATTGCCTACCTCTTGCTTATAGTGGGAACTAAATCATTCAAACAATTTCTGTGAAGATTCCCAAAAAGGTTTATTTCTCTGAAAGGCCAATGTGCTAATGAAAACAATACATACATTACATGTATTATACTTCAAATGTGTAGAAAAACCTAATTGAGAGGGAGATTGCTATGTGATTTGTTTACCTCTTGAGTGAATGAATGATACCCAGTGCCATGCTGATTAAAAAGGAAAAGGTTTTGCTTTCCCCAAGGGAAACATGCTCCTGATACACACCTGAGAATACACAGCTGTGCAGTAAAAATAAATATCCAAATTGTAGGTGCCCTTGGTGAGTGCTAGAACAATTACATTGTTAAAGGCTACAGTTTTTCAGTCTTCAGTCAGTACCATGTACACACACACACACACACACACACACACACACAAACACCACATACTCACTCCTAAAGCTCTGTAAAACCAGGGCAGTTGGCACTGGATTACTGGATTTTTATTTCATTCAGGATATTTCTAAAACAAAAGCATCTGTTTTTAAAAAAAAAAAAAATGACTAAAATAGTGATTTTAAAAGTTAGGATTAAATTTTCATCAGTTTAACATAACCATATGTAAATAAGGGTATTTTCAAGTTGGAAATTATTGTGGTGCCTCATTCACACAATAATTCAAATAAGCTAATGTCTCCAAAAATGTTGCATTTGCTTAGCTAAGGTAGAGATTATTTTATTTCCTGGAGGTTTTTCTTTCCCTCTTCACACAACAGTACCAAATGCTGACATGAAAGCATTATAAATTAAGTATTGTGAATATTTTAGACACATTTTTATAAGGAGCCTGTAGTATTGAGTTACAGTAAAATATTAGTGAAAGTATGGGGAGTTACTGGTTTTTATTTTTCTATTCTGTTTTTAAAATTTTGGTTATCATTTACCTTACAGTGAAAAGAAAAGGTGATTCTGTGTGGTATATCTGTGGGATGACTGTGTACTGTAAATGTGTAAGATAGAATGTAAAGACAATGCCCCAAAAGGATGAGGGAGAAGACCAAGATGACAACTCTCTTGCATGAGTCATCCCATCATGTCCATTTTCCAGATGTTTTGGGGGAACTTCCATGTTCACTAGCCTGGTCTGACTATTGTTTCAGATGTCTTCAAGGATACCAGGATGGAAGCCACATGGCTAAGAAGGTAAATGCTACCCTAACTCTGGGTGTATAAGGTAGATGCTTCAAAAAAGAGTAGCTTTGCATTTGCTTTATCTCCACATTTGTTTTTTATAAAAGGAAACTGGGGAAAAGCAATCACCATATCGACACCCAGTAATAGGAAAATGAAGTAATATTTTCTCCTGGATTTTCATTGAAAAAGTAGTTTTATTTAAGCAAGGCGACTTTGTGGTGGGAATTGTCACCTAGAATGTAATGTCGAGCTTGCAAGGTTATGTCTACAATCTCACCTTCTCTAATGCAACATAAAAGGTTCCACTCTTCATATTAGAAACAACTTGTTTGTTCACCTGCCCCCATTACTCTCCTCTTATTCCGATGTTTTATTTTAGTTACCTTTGTTTAAAGTACATGTTGAATAGATTCAACTTGTTTCATGGTTTCATCGAGGAGGCTCTAGATCTTACCATGTAATGTGTCTAGACTCCTGTCTTTGTCCCCCAACCACAGTGCTTTGGCTTGGAGGAAGAATTGTGTTAAATGGTCTTCCATCTGAAGAAACAAATTTGTCTTTACTGTGAAGTTAGTTATTTTGTCTTGTTTTTAACTCTCTCTAATTGGTAAGCTTTGATAATAGCAGTAAGTGTGCTCATGCACACATTTTTGGATTCTGTGCATCTATGTGCTGGTTCAGCAGCGCACAGATAACCCAGGCACCACTGCAGATCCCTTACTCAAAGTACAACACATTAATAAAATAACCTCAGAAACTCTCACAACCTGTGTCCTTTCTTCCCACAGTCAAGACTGGCACAAGCTTCCTGCCCCTGGGGTCTTTGGGCTCATACTCATAAGGAAACTTTTTAAGGGACACTTGGCCTCTCACAAAAAAGTAGAGCATTTTGCACATTCCACGGTTTGGCAAAGTCAGAACTAGTTATTTTCTCTAGACCAGTATCAAGTTCTTCTCAGGCATATGATTTCACTTGAAGTCCTGCCCAGGAATCCTTCAAAGTGAGCATTTGTCCCGCTCTCATGATGTCAGGCGGTTTTCCCTGCATCTGTAATTTGAAGAAAAACAAACCTGCGGGGGGAACAAACGCCACGGAAACCCAAACAGAACTCCATAGGGAGCTGGGGTCTCACCTTCGTAGGGTGCACCAGAGGGGCACCGGCCGAGGATCCCCTGCGTGGGTGGCAGTCCGACCGGTACTGTGGAGAGAGTGTCAACGTCCGTCGCTGCCTTCTGTGGACGGTGCAGACCCACTGCTCTGGGGCTCTGGCCGCTGCTAGGGGGCCGCTGCGCCAAGTGTCAGCGGTAGCACCGCGAAGCAGCTACAGACACAGGCAATGGCCCAACCTCAAATTTCCAAAGACAGGCCCACATTAGTGACAAACTGGGGGTCGGGAAGGGAATCCCCAGGGGCCACTTTTCCAGAAATTTCTGCTAATGTGTCATAAGGAGTGCCCCACCCCCAGCCCCAGTGAAAGTGGAAGGAAAGCGCTCCCGCACAATGGAAGAAGCTGACTTCTTCCTTATTCTTAGTAGTGACAACTGCATTATTTCTCCGATTATCCTTGGAAACAAAACATCGAAAATACAGAGGGATTAATTTTCTGTGTTTAGAGGGCAGCAAAAGATCGACCTTGTAAACCGGGTACCGTATGCGTTTTTACATTCTCTTTTGTTTCAAGGCCCAAGTCGCAACCCCACTTAATGTTCTTAGCAATCAAAGCACAAATCCTTTGAAGAAGGTGTGTAATTGGAGTTTGAGGCACGTATGGAATTCCCAGATGTCTATAAAGTAAGAAGGAGCCTGTGGCAGGTCGCTGGAAGCTGGGGCGAGTTACAATCACTGAGAGGCTAGGAACTGTTTTATTTTTTTCTCCTTTGATAAAGTCCAGTGAATTAAGCATCGGGAAAGGTCGGAATGTGAGCATCGAATGTACGCATCTTCTTGTATCAAAGCCATACAACATGGCAAAAAGCACATGGTCAGAAAACCTCAAGGAAAACAGTCAATTACAGTGGGGATTTCATGGGCGCCCTGCAAGGAGATCATTTGGGGTTTGCTGCATCGTGGACCTTCAGTGGCTTCTTTATTGTTTACATGGACTATTTTTTGTTTTTTCTTTTCTGTCATACCCAAACTGGCAACTGTATCCTCGTTTTACTACATGTGATTTAGGCTGAAGCCAGGGGAAAAAAAAATCTTCAGATTGATTAGAAAAGGCAAAAAAACAAAAAATCAAAAACAAGCAAACAAACAAACAAACAAAAATAGTGCTAAAAGCATTCCTTCCAGAAGGCAGCCTTACTGGGGGAGGGGATATTGGGAGTGGAACCAGAGAAATAACATTTCTGTAAAACATGAGGCCTAAAGGTCTAACAGATAGAGAGACATGCTCCAGGAAAATACACCACCTTCAACTACCCTCTTTCTGGTTGAATGGAGGAATGTGAAGAGGACTAGGATCCGGCTGACGAAGCTGAATCCTAGTGTGAATTGTGCTTACAAGGCAGGTTTTGTTTTGTTGTTTTGTTTTTGGTCTGTATCTGAGATCAAAATAAGACTTTTCTCCCTGGGTTCAAGGCATTGCCCTCATCTACCTGGGGAGTGGAGCCCCAGGTAGGAGACTTCTGGATGTGTTGAAGAAATGGGCTGTGGCAAGGGCTGGCTGGCACTGGGAAGGGTCATTTGGGGGGGCATTTTGATTGTGGCTGGAGGGGTGGTGCTAGAACAAAGATTGTCTATACTAAGGCAGGGGGCAAGGGGACTAGCTGGGGAAGCGAGTGTGACAAGTGAAAAGTTGAGCAGGTACCTGAGGAAGTTTATCTTGCCCAGATGTTAAGGCTTTTATGAAATGTCACATGAAGAGAACAGATGTGCAAGCTGCAAGTGGAGCCACGCCCTTAAACACAAGGAAGGCTTGCAGGGAAATCCAGGCATAAATCAACAGCCTCCTTTTTTCTCTCTTAAATACTCACAGAAATCGAAGGCTCATCCTAACTGCATCATCCTGAAGTCCCCGTTTCTTCCCTGCCCAGCAAGGCCTTTGTTTCTCGTCAACAGTCCCATTTTCCTTCTTCACATCTCTGCCTCGCATATTTCTCTCCCTGCTTCTTTGCATTTGATCCTGAGGAAAGTATCAGGTCTCGGTTTGAAAAGCTGAAACTAAT